ATTTAACTTCCTCAAAATATGAGCTACCCTGCTCCGTTGGCTGACTATGCATTATAACTTCCTGTAGACATAATATTGCTGTAACTGAAGGGCGAATCTTGAGGGGTGTTTCCAAAACTAACAGATGGCTTTATCTGAACGCGATAAACTATATAAGGGATTTCCTGCCTGTCACTCAGGGTTCAGGCCTTTGTCTCTGAACTTGCGCAATAAACTATTCCTTCCCTGAAGAGCTGGCTTGCGTGTCCTGTTTTTTCTACAACAGGAGGAAGATCTTGGAAAGCAATGGGGACCAAAATAAGATGACATTAAGCTGCGGCTGATTTCAAGCTGTTTTTTCAAATATGGATTAGTTTAGTTTACTTTATTGTCATTGCACATGGTACAATGAAATTAAATGCCGTCTTCAGTGTACATTACAATTATAAAAATAAAAACACAAACATGCATCCTTTACATTCTATATAATTGAAATTGACATCCTGATATTGCACTACCCAGGATGGCGAACCTATGGCAGGCGTGCCACAGGTGGCACGTGGAGCCATTTGTTAGGGCATGCAAGGCTTTGCCCTGTAAGCTGGCTACCGTACATGTGCACGCTGGCCAGCCTTTTTTTGAGGCCATTTTTCACCTTCCCCAGGCTCCAGAGGCTTTATAGGAGCCTGGGGAGAGCGAAAACAACCTCCCCTGCCTCCCTGGAGGCCATCAGGAGGCTTCAGGAGCTTCCCTGAAGGCTCCGGAGAGCAAAAAAATGGCTGTACGGAGGCTTCAGGGAAGCCTCCAGAATGTCCCTGAAAGCTCCGGAGGACTAAAAACAGCTTTACGAACAAACCGGAAGTGACTTCTATTTTGCTTGTAGGGCCTCCGGGATTGCAGCTGTTTTCACCCTCCCCAGGCTCCTACAAAGCCTCTGGAGCCTGGGGAGGGTGAAAAAAGCATGCAAAAAATGGGGGGAGTGCCTGTCATGCTTGCATGCACACTGGGGGTGGCGCATTGCATTATGGCCGTGCCTCACCTGCACATGACCCCCCCTGCACTCCCTCTGCTTATGGCGTGTGAGCCAAAAAAGGTTCGCCATCGCTGCACTATCACCGCAGAATTCAATATGGTTATTGCCCTGAGATAGGAGGTGTTTTCAGACTGCTTGTCCTTGTTTTTAAGAGTTTTTCATTCAGTTGTTTCCTGAGAAGTCTCAGGTAGTCTATTCTCTGCTGTGCCCTTTTGACCAGTGCTGCAATGTTAGTGCCCCAGGTCAGGTCTTCTTCCCAGAAACTTAAAACTTGCTCCATTCGGTCTCCATTGATAAGCAAGGGCTGGATGTCTGATCTATTCCTTTTATAGTTAGTCCACTATAAGATCTTTGGTCTTATTTCTGCTAAGGATCAATTTATTGTCTCTACACCACGAAAGCAACCCTTCCATCTCGATAGGCAGATTCATTCCCCCCCACCCAGAGTTTAGTCCCACCACAGTTGTATCATCTGCAAATTTAGTGATAGTATTACTAGCGTGAGTGGAAATACAGTCATGCACATAAAGACTATAGAGTAAGGGACTTGACACGCAACCCTGAGGTGTACCGGTGCTAAGAATAAGGGCTGAAGAGATATGATTACCTAATCTGACCCTCTTGAGAGCGGCCACACAGAAAATCCATAATCCAAAGGCAGTTTGAATAAGAAAGCCCAAGTCATAATTTAGACACTAATCTATGTGGAATTATTGTGTTAAATGCAGAACTAAGATCTACAAAATTATTAAAGATTTGTGTGTCAAACTGGAGGGGAAAGAAAAATGACGTAGGCTACATTTTTTAAAATGGGTTTTCAACCACTTTTCCATCCATTCCAATTTTGTTTTGCTCACTGTACCTAACCTCTGTGTGTCACTGTCGACTCCAAATCTCCAAATTCCATCTGCCAAATTCCAGTGCCGACTGGCAACTACACGGAGGAGAGCTTTTTCAGTAGTAGCTCCGACCCTTTGGAACGATCTCCCCATGGAGATTCGTACCCTCACCACCGTTCAGACCTTCCGCACAGCCCTTAAGACCTGGCTAGCCCGTCAGGCCTGGGGATAAAGCTAATTTGTCCCCTTCC